AAATATTTTAATAAATTTATACATGAGATTGTACTTTTAATATATAATTTAATTTATAAAATATATATTTTTTATTTTTAATACAATTTAGTGATTAAAAAATGTATTAAGGTACGTATATGCGAGAAAAACCCATTTTTTAAGAAAAGATGCAATCTTATACCGTGGCCAGGGCTGATTGGGTGTCCAATAAAACCATTAAATATTTCTATGCACAATTAAAATTAAATTTTGTTTCAAATTAAAAAAAAAAAAAGTTTCATTGCAAAAAAGAAAAAAAAATTTTTTTTTAGCTGCCAAACAATACGAAAACGGTTTTTATAGGGTTTATGCGGCTGACGATTCAACTACAAAGAGAAAATAATGGATGCACTGCCGGATTTAGTCTACGACGTTCTACCCGCCTCCCAGTAAAGTCTCTCCTACGACTCTGATGCCTTTCTAAATACTCTAGTTCCGAAATCGACAGTGCAGATTGCGTCAAGAATCATCTCAAGAGATCAGTCCAAAGCAAGGCCAGCCAAAAGCTCATCGTCAACAGCGCTGCCGATAGCCTATTCTACTTTGCTGGTTTTGATAACGACCTCCAACATACCTTCCCACTCAACAACCTATGAGATTTTATTGTTTCTTCACCTTGGCATGTGGTTCTTGCAATGGTTTGATTCTCTTGGGTATTGGAATGTACCAAAACACCATGAATCTTACCATATGGAATCCATTCACTGAGCGGTATAAGATAATACCGCTTTCTCCATCCCTAACCAGAAATTTAGTTAGTTATGGTGTAGGATATGATTCTGCTCGTGATGACCATAAGATTTTATTGATTTCAAAGTTTAATAACGTTTCTTCTCTAGTCTGGGTTTTTAGTTTGAAATCAAATTCTTGGAGATGTAGTCAAGTTTTAGCAGATGAACCAAGCAGTTCGGAGGGGTATTATGCAAAATGGTGCTCTGTATTGAGCAATTCGTGATCCTTTTAGATCAAAGTTTTTTGGTTTTGATCTCACAAATGAGGTGTTCTTTGACCTCCCAAGATTGCCTGATTGTGGCTCGGAAACCGTTTGCTTTTATATGACTTAATGGTTTTAGGAGGTGATCTTTATACTCAAACAATGCATGTCGCGAGTGTCAGAAAGGGCTGCTCTTGTAATTTTATGCCTTTCAAGTTAAGATATTTATGGGTTTGGAGTACCTCTTGTACTCCGTTTTTAATAAATTTACTTTTTGCTGTTAAAAAAAAAAAAAAAATGCATGTCGCGAGTGAAAATTTGGAATTTTACATGCTTGTTAGTGATAAGGATAGAGAAGTTGCATCGGGTAACTGAGGGAAAGAATTCACGGTGAAGGAAGAGGAGATTATTATGAAGCATACTTTTCCACCTTTTCCTTTGGCTTATTCAAAAGGTGGGTATAGCATTCTGCTTAAAGTAGCCGCCACTCGCCAGCAATGAACTTTTTTGGTATAACTTTGAAAACAAAGCAAAACAAAGGGTGGAGATTAAAGCTGGGCTTTGCAGCGTTGGAGTTACTGCAATGTTCACCGGCCAAATCTTGTTTCTCTGGGCAATGATAGTGCATTTGATGGGGCAGCTGAGGAAATGATATATAGTTAGATGATTTATACCTTCTTTTAGAAGGTCTAAGTTTGGACATTCTAATAACTGCTGCAAAGCATAAATAAGAAGGAAAAAATTAACGGTTATATGTTTTTGGCTAGCAAGGATGACAGCATTTAGATCAAGTTTCTTTCAATCCAGTTTTGTTTATTAATTAGGCCTTCTCCTTTTGAATCCTAGTTTATAGTACGGGATTTTGCATGGTTTGAAGTGGGGTATGTGGGAAATTTCCTTTAAATTCTAGGTTTCCTAGAACTTTTAAGTGTATATATTAACTCCTTCGATATGGCAGTGCATGTTATTTCCTTTAAATTGGTCTTCAATAGATGGTGTGGCTTCTTTTGGTTAAACAAGTGACTTTTAAGGCAACTTCATCTCTAGTATGAATTTTGCTCTTGTTAATGTTTTTAAGTGGGTATTCTGTCCTTTAATCGTGTTTGGTATAATCATGTGTATTTATAAAAGGATCCAAGTACCTCTCCTTTCCCTTTTAGCCGTACAATGGATTTTGCTTAAATGAAGTGTAGTTATCTGCCTTCATCCCACTGCTGTTCCGAAACACAATGTTGCTTCTGGCTGTTCATATGGTCCATAAAAATAACTTACAATTAGGAATTAGAGAAATATGTTGGTGGAATCGGACCAATCAGAGTTGATTGAGGAAATCAAACAATTTTGTGGTCTGACTGGTTATGGAAGAAATTGATTAATTTCATTAATTCATTGCATGTTGAGAAAGTTTGGTTGATATTTTTATTGAATTTTTTTTTTTTATAAAAAAAGTGACTGATTCTATTTTGAATCTTGAATTCTTCTCAAAGATGGAATATATCAATGATTTAATACATCTTAAAACACTATAATCTTTGAATTTTAAAGGATTAGATGTTTGATCATTGAAGCAAATTATCGATTGATTCTTTTTTTTTAATCAAAAACTTCCTAATTTGTAGAATTATATCGGAATTGAAATTGCTGTATTTGCTCTTTTTTTTTTTTTCAGCCAAACAGTTTTTTGTTACTATGTTGAATGCATGTCTTTTAACTAATTATGAACTAAAGATATGACTATACATGTTCATTACTACTCATTTCTATTTAATGTCACTAAATAATTCCTTTCCTGATATTTATTTTGTTGATGGTTCCCTTATGAATATTAGTCACATTGGCAATATTTCTACAAAGTCATTGACTTTACCAAATGCCCTCTTAGTTCCAAAACTTAGTTATAATCTTCTATCTATCGATTAATTATATGATCTTGGTCTTGAAGTAACATTTTCTACTCATGGTTGTCGTGTGCGAGACCCACAGACATGACAACTTCTTGGAACTAGTCGCAAGGTGGGGCGTTTGTTTGAACTCAACTATCTACATATTCCTAATAATAAAATGGATACACCATCTTTTCCAAATGATCGATTCATCCAAACCTTGCTTTATACTATTAAATTAGAGTCTTTACAAATTCCATACCAAAAAATTTTGCAAGCTTATGTTGCTACTAATGTTTCTTCTCTCCATTTGTGGCACTCATGGCCCGGACATACCTCAGTCGGTAAACTTTGTCCACTAATGTCTCATGGTTTATTAGGATCAATTCCGAATGAATCTTTTCATTGTGTGTCATGTCAATCTGCAAAGCAACCAACTTTATCTTTTTCAAGTGGTCATTGTCATTCCACTGCTCCTTTTGATCTCGAGCATTCTGATATTTGGGGTCCATCTCCTACACCCACTATGGGGGGTTTCAGGTATTTCATATTATTTATTGATGATTACACTCGTTTTACATGGATATACCTTATTAAAAATTGCTTTGAATTATCATAAATTTATATTGATTTTGCTACCATGGTCAAAACTTAGTTCTCTAAAATTATCAAAGTTTTGAGAATTGACAATGCTACTGAATATCTTGGTACTAAATTTCAATCCTTTTTGAAAGAACATGGTACACTAACACAACAATCTTGTCCTTATACTTCTGAACAAAATGGGCGAGCTTAACGCAAACATAGACATATCTTTGCAATTGTTCGTGCTCTACTCATTTCATCTTCTTGTCCAAAGTGATTTTGGGGTGAAGCTGCTTTTACAGTTGTTTATCTTATTAGTCGCATTCCATCATCAATTCTTAATAACTAGTCTCCATACAAGCAGATGAGGATATCATTGTTGGGATCCTATGTCACAAAAACTCCAAGTTTCACGTCATGTTGTCTTTGGGAACATACTATGTTCTCATTGTTGTCAAACTTCAAAGTGTCATCTTCTCATCAACCTCCATTTTTACTAATCTTTTTATTGAGCTATTTCCTAGTGATTCTGATGTAGGTACATCTGATGAGCTCTACAATGCCTCACCACATGCTTCAACTAGTTCTGTAGAAGATGATCTATCTGATGGTAATGCATTAGATAACTTTGAGCCTTCTTCTACTTCTTCATCTATATCACCTATTGATGTTGCAACTAATATTGTTGAGTCTACAACGAGCTTGTTGTCCCATTATCAAGTCATCCTACTCAGGTAAGAAACCCTTTCAGCTACCTTCGTGATTATCATTGTTCTCCTGCTATTACCTCTTTACATGAGCCTCAATCCTATCAAGAGGCTTCTTCTAACCCTCTTTGACAACAAGCTATGCAATATGAATTACAAGCTCTTGAAAACACTCGTACATGCGATTTAGTTGATCTCCCTATAGAAAAGTCTCTAATAAGCTGTAAATGGGTGTACAAGATCAAAACACGATCTGATGGTTTTGTGGAGCATTATAAGGCACGCTTGGTTGCTAAGGGTTTTACACAGGAGTATGGAATAGATTATGAGTAAACATTTGCTCCAGTTGCTCGTCTCATATCTATGCATAGTTTGCTTACTATCATTGCTATACGAAGATGAAAATTGTTTCAAATGGAGGTGAAAAATGCTTTTCTTAATGGTGACATAGAAGAAGAAGTTTATATGAAACCACCTCCTAGGCTTAACCATCCTCCAAATAGGGTATGTTGATTGCGACGTGCGTTATATGGGTTGAAACAATCCCCTCGAGCCTCGTATGCAGTTTAGTGCTACTATGAGTAAGTTTGGTTCTACTTCTAGTTCACATGATATAGCTTTGTTCATTTGTAAGACTGCTCGGGGTATGGTTCTTTTACTTCTTTATGTTGATAACATGATTATTATTGGAGATGATGTCGCAGGTGTTGAGGAGCTAAAACAACCTCTTAGTCAAAAATTTGAGATGAAAGATCTTGGTGTTTTGAGCTATTTTTTGGGGCTTGAAGTCACCTCTTCAAATAATGGCTACCTGCTTTCTCAAGTAAAGTATTCCTTTGATCTTGTTTCTAAAGCTAAACTCAATGATGGTAAGAGTGTTTCTACACCTCTTGAACCTAATGTCAAGCTTACACCTATGGATGGCTTTCCACTTTCTGATCCTACTCACTATTGGCAATTGGTTGGTAGTCTAGTTTATCTTACCACGACATGCCCTAATATAGCATATGCAGTTCACATTGTTAGTTAGTTTATGGCTACTCCTCGCTCCACTCATTATGTAGGAATACTCCGCATTATTCGCTATGTTAAAGGAATAATTTCATGGACTCCATTTTTCTACCAACTTTTCCCTTGTGCTTCATGCTTACTTTAATGCTGATTGGGTTAGTGATCTTTTTGATCGTAGATCTACCATTGGTTACTGTCTTTTCCTTGATAATTCTCTTATCTCTTGGTGAGGTAAGAAACAAACTATTCCATCTCGCTTTAGTACTGAAGCAGAGTATAGAGCTCTCGGTGATACCACATCAGAACTTCTTTCCTTATGATGGCTTCTTAAAGATATGGGCATTCCTCAGCCTTCTTCTACTGATTTATATTGTGATAATCAAAGTGCTATGCAGATTGCTCATAATGATGTCTTCCATGAACGCACTAAACACATTGAGGTTGATTGTCACTTTGTTCACCATCATGTTGCACAAGGAACTGTTCATTTGGTTTTCATTGGCTCTGTTGATCAACCAACAGACCTCTTTACCAAGGCTCATTTTCCTGGGTGCTTTCGTACTCTTCTTTTCAAACTCGAGTTGGTTTCATCACAATCACCTTAAGTTTGAGGGGGATGTTAAGATGTAAACACAATTATATTTAGAATTATTGTAAATATTTTATATTTTAGAATATTCTCTTTGTAAACACCTATATATAGGTTATTGTACATACAGTATTATTCAAGAAAGCAATAAACCTTTCTTCAAATTATTTTTCTTTTATGTTTCTAACAAGATCAATCTGAAGTGAAATCTGTCAAAAGCTAATCGTCAACAACCAAACTGGCACCCATTTCTATGCTGCGGATTTTGATGGTGGCCTTCAAGAAGCCACTGCACTCAACTACCCATTCAAATTCACATGTGGTAACACCCTTGTAGTTGATGGTTCTTGTCGTGGTTTGATTCTACTGGTCTTGGGTAGCTCTAACTCTAAACTTGCTTTATGGAATCCATTCAATTGGCGATATAAGTAAATACCACCTTGTCCTATCAAGACCCTACCTATTTACAAAGAATTATACATGTTGGGTCTTGGGTATGATTTTGTTGTTGATGACTACAAAATTGTGATGGTTTCACAATTTGGTGGGTTAGCGATTCTAATCATTCATTTCAATCTTGGGTTTTTAGTTTGAAAGCAAATTCTTTCGAGGAGTCAAGATGCCCAGTGATATTGGAGGACGTGGTCTCATTAAAGGCTAGTTTTGCAAATGGTGCTTTGTATTAGCAATGTGATGATGAAGACAAGATATTTTCCTTTGATCTTACAAAAGAGGTGTTCTCTGACATACGGCTCTTACCTGATTTAGGGTTTCTAATCAACAGAGTGGACAATCAGGAATTATTTTTCTACTATGATACCCTAGTGGATTTTGGATGTAAAGTCTACATTGCCATGGTAAGTGCTAAGAGTAGAAATCTTGAATTTTACTTGCACGTGAGTGAAAAGGGTGGAGAAGACTTAGGAGGTAGTTGGAAGAAGGGATTTGATATGGAGGATGTATAAAAGTAAGAAACTTGTGGGTTAAGTACAAGGAAGGCCACTCCACCTATTGCTAATTGGTTTTAGGTTGGATGCAAGTCTTATGTGGAGCCCACATGCACAATTTTCACATGGTATTAGAACCTAGGTTTCGTCCTGGGAAGCCCATTGCTAGCCCACCTGATATGATCCAAAGTTGATATCGATTTTGCATTTAAAGGGATGTATTAAACCACATAACAAGACCTGTGGGCCTACATGTGAAACGGTGTGTTGAGTGGGAGAATCCCACATCTATCTAAAAACAAAGATGTATGTGGATTAAATATAATGATGCTACTCCATCTATTGCCAATTGGTTTTAGGTTGGATGCAAGTCTTGTATTGAGCTCACATGCACAATTTTCACATGGTATCAAAGCCCAGATTTTGTCCTGGGGAGCCCATTGTTGGCCCACCTGACATGACTCGAAGTTAAAGTTGATATTGAGCCTGCATGTGAGGGGGTGTGTTGAGTAGGAAAATCCAACATGAAGTCTAAACAAAGAAGTATGTCAGTTAAATATAAGGAGGGTTACTCCACTTATTGTTAATTAGTTTTAAGCCCACATAATAGGATCCAAAGTTGATATCAGTTTTGCATTTAAAGGGGTGTATTAAACCACATAACAGGACCTGTGGGCCTGCACGTGAGATGGCGTGTTGAGTGGGAGAATCCCACATTGATCTAAAAACAAAAAAGTATGTGGGTTAAATATAAGGAGGCTACTCCATCTATTGTCAATTGGTTTTAGGTTGGATGCAAGCCTTATATTGAGCCCACATGCACAATTTTCACATAGTATTAAAGCCAGATTTTGTCTTGGGAAGCCCATTGTTAGCCCACCTGACAGGACTTGAAGTTAAAGTTGATATTGGGCCTGCATATGAGGGGGTGTGTTGAGTAGGAAAATCCCACATTGAGTCTAAAACAAAGAAATATGTGGGTTAAATATAAGGAGGGTTACTCCACTTATTGCCAATTGGTTTTAGATTGGATGCAAGTTTTGTGTTGAATCCATAAGCACAATTTTTTCATGGTATTAGAGCCCAAATTTTATCATGGGAAGCCCGTTATTAGCTCACCTAACAAGATCGAAGTTGAATGATACCGAGCCTGCATGTAAGGGGTATATTAAGCCATGTGACATGACTCAACATTCATAGCCAATTAGTTTTAGGTTGGATGCAAGCCTTGTGTTGAGCTCACATGCACAATTTTCACAAGATGAGGATATCAAGAGGCTTTTAAATGTGGATGATGTGGAGGATAAAGGGGATCAACTTGACTTGCCTTGGCCTTTGGCATATTGAAAAAAGGGAGATAACATTCTGTTTTATAAAAAGAATGAGGCATTTTGCTATAACCCTAAAAATAGAGCAAGGGAAAAAGTGATGATTGTTGGGATTCCTTAGACTCAAAGGTAGAGGTATAACTTTCATGTTTGTTGGGAAAGCCTTGTTTCTATTGGTGATGAGAGTGCATTTGATGGATTAGTTGAGGAAATGATAATAGATGAAGCTAGTAGAACAATATAAAGCAAACTTCTTTGTCTTGCTTTCCCCAGACTATAGTGGTCGTTGTAAATAAGCAAGTAGTAAAACGGGCATGTTTCTAGTTATAAAGGATTTTAATATTTCAATGAAACACCCTATCAGTCCCTTTTTGTTTTGCATTTAGCCTTATTAATCCTAGTAAGTAATTTTGAGTGAGATTCTTGCATAATTAGAGATGGGACATGAGAATTTGCCTTTGAAATCCTAGGTTTCAAGAATTTCTAGTTTACTAACCTTGCTCAAGCTTGGTGGCAATGGCTTTAGTGGTGTGGTATAAGTCCTGGCTTTTATCTTAGGTACTAACTTTCACCCCTTCCCCTTTTTTTCTTATCCATGATTTTTCAAGTCTTATTTGGACATAGTTTCCATACATTTCTATAGATGGGGTGTCTATTAAGCAAGTCCATCTCTTATTGTAGTCCATATCTTTGATAAATATGGCAGTTACTTGTTAGCAGATTGTCTAATATATGATTTTAATATATCATTAAGAAGAACGGTTGCATCTACTTTTTTACATTTTCCTCAATTCTAGCCTCGTAGGCATGTCAAATCAAATAAGTTCTTACTAGTTCTTAGTGAACAATTGTTTTAATTATTGGGTGCAGTGAACAATATGTGTAGTTATTTCTTTCCTATCTATGCATACTCCCCTTGCATGCACAAAACCTCGGAGTGTAATTATCAAAAATGCATTCGAAGAGCTTAATTTTGTGGGTTTGTGCATTGTTCGTTTCACTTTTGTTCTTTAACTGATGTGCACCGGGAGAAAGCACCAGGAAAATGCATTGGATTGTACAACAAATTTAACAAATTTCAAACTACATTGCAGACTACAAATAGGTTGGTGCAATTTTGTCAAATGGCCACACAAGTCAGCAAAAATGGCTAACTCCCAACTGCATTTTTCTTTTCATTTATTACCTTAGTTGGATTTTGCCAATAACTAGTCATGTTTCCTCCATTGTATGCATCAAGTTTCAATTTGTAATTCTCCTTTGTTAAGTGAGTTTTTGAGAGTGGATTATCTAAATTTATCTTTGTATCTTAAGTCTTGCTGACCTAAGTGGTGTTCTAGCTAATCAAATTCATCATAATGGGATTCTAAATCTCGCCAAAATTGGTGTTTCGATATCGGCTCCTACGCCATTTGGTATCAAAGCCAACATATTTTGAAGTTTGCATGTCATTCTAAGCATTCTGGTGAAAATTTGATCGCTGAAAAGTGCTGCATGTGCCTCCATGCGCCACTGCTGTTGTCTTACACACCAACCACGTGCACCATTGCAACTTGCGTGAAAGTCATGCACTGGTCATCTTCAACCCTCCATTGCCACGTCACTTGCCACCCCATCACCACATCATCATCCACTCATGGCCACATTATCCATTTGCCACGTCACATATGCCACATCACCTGCCATGTCATCATCCAGTCACTACCACATCATTAATATGCCATGTCACATGTACCACATCATCAACTGCATCACCTGCCATGTCATCGACACATCAGTAGAACACTTGCATCCTATTGCCAGGTCATCAAGTCCCTCAACTTATTTGACTTTACAAATTGGTCCCCATATTTTTATAAATTTTAAATCATCCCCACTTCTAAAAACTAACTTTCCAAAAGGCCCCTTTATCAACCAAAACTCAACATGCCTCCTAGAAGACAAAATCCTCCTCGTCAATGAGCTATTTGAGATGTAGAGATGGAAGAATTACGTCAACAAATTCAAAGACTTCAAGAGAAAGTTGAAGCTTTTGAGGGTCAACAAGCTCAATAAGTTCAACACCCTTAAAATGAATCATATGAGTCAAAGGAAGATTATGACAATGAGAATCCTTTCCATCACCTAAGGGATAATGAAAGCTCATCATCAATAGAAAGAGTCTGTCATTGACGTCCCAACAAAATGCTACTCCTAAATCCATCGACCTTGGCATTAAAATCGATATTTGAGATTTTGAAGGTTGCCTTCAACCCAATGAATTTATCGATTGGTTACACATTATGGAATGTATATTTGAACTCAAGGATATTCTTGACAACAAGCGTGTAAAGCTTGTCACCATCAAATTGAAGAAACATGCATCCACTTGGTGGGAGAATCTCAAGCGTAGTCAAGAAAAAGAAGGCCACAACAAAATTAGAACTTGGGAGAAAATGCGTTGGGAACTCACTCGTAAGTTCTTACCTAACCGTTACTACCAAGATAATTTTGTTAAATTTCATAACTTATAGCAAAAATCTTTGATCATGGAAGAATATACTATGGAGTTTGAACAATTAATGATGAAATGTGATGTTTGGGAAAAGGAAAAGCAAACCATAGCCTGATATCTTGGAGGTTTGGACTATGACATTTCCAAAGTTGTTCAACTTCAACAATATTAGACTTTGGATGTCATTCGGCTAGCATTGAGGGTTGAAAAGAAAATATCAAAGAAGAATATTATTAGTGCTTCAAAACTACGAGATTTTGGAGCTAGTCGAGGAACTCAAGCCTCAAAAACTATTGCCAAGACCCTTGTCAAGGCTGAGAAGGAAGCTAGTTTGAGCCGTCTAGCTCAATCTAACACTCGAAAATGTTTCAAGTGTCAAGGATTTGGCCACATCGCCTTTAACTATCCAAGCAGGAGAGTTGTCACCATTATCAGAGGAGAAATTCATGAAGCCTCAGATGATGAAGCAGAAAAGGAGCATAATGATGAGATTGAGTCAGCACAACTTGAGGAAGAACTCATCCTAGCTAACCATGGAGAATCTTTGGTTGTACATCAAAGATTTCATGCTACCATAACCAAGGATGAAGATTGGTTTTGACATAACATTTTTCACACCAATGTACTTCTCGAAGGAAAGTTTGCAACGTCATCATCAATAGTGGAAATTGTTAGAATGTTGTATCCAATTATATGGTTGAAAAGCTAGGATTGCTTATTAAAGATCATTCCCATTCATACAAGCTACAATGGCTACGAAAGGGAAATGAGGTAAAAGTAACCAAATGTTGCCTTGTGTTTTTTTCTATTGGTAACAAGTACCAAGACGAAGTATGTGTGATGTTATTCCCATGAACGCCGGTCACTTGTTACTTGGTCACTCCTGACAATTTGATCTAAAGGCTATCCATGATGACCATGCCAACACCTACTTGTTTATGAAAGATGGTGTGAAAATCAAGCTCACTCTCCTAAAGCCGAAAGAAACACTTGAAAAGAAGGATGAGGACAAGGCTTTTATCTCTAGATCAACCTTTCAAAAGTTGCATTGAGAATCGAGAATAGCATGTCTTTTGCTATTATCCAAAGTAAATGATGCCACTTCTCATTTTCTAGTGGAAATTTGATCTCTCCTTATAGAGTTTTCTGCTGTTGTTCTTGACGAGATCCCTCCTGGATTACCATTGATGAGAAACATTCAGCATGCCATTGACTTTATCCCAGGATTTGTCATCCCAAACAAGCTTGCTTATTGGATGAACCCTCAAGAATATGTGAAACTTCAATGACAAGTCAAAGAGCTGATAGAGAAAGAACTTATCAAGGAAAGTGTTAGCCCATGTGCCATGCCCATGCTACTAGTCCTAAAAAAAGATGGAACTTGGAGAATGTGTGTAAATAGTCATGCAATCAACAAAATCATATCAAGTACCGCTTCCCAATTCCACACCTTGATGATATGCTTGATTAGCTGCATGGAGCTACTATCTTCTTAAAGATTGACTTGAGAAGTGGATATCACTAGATTTGAATGCATCCTAATGATGAATGGAAGACAACATTCAAAACTAGAGATGATTTTTATGAGTGGACAGTCATGCCATGTAGACTATCTAATGCTCCCAGCACTTTCATACACCTTATGAACCAGGTATTTCAACTCTTCATTGGGAAATTTGTTGTGGTTTACTTTGATGATATCTTGGTATATAGCAAGAATGAACAGGAGCACATGGACCATCTCCAACAAGTTTTTGAAGTCCTTAGAGAGCAGAAACTTTATGCTAATCTCAAGAAATGTTCATTCCTCACTACAAGTGTGACATTTCTTGGATACATCATCACCATTCAAGGCATTGAGATGGACCCCAATAAGATTGATGTTATTGTCAATAGGCCTACACCAACATCCATGCATGATGTTTGAAGTTTCCATGGCTTAGCATCTTTTTACCAAAGATTTATCAAGAATTTCAATTCTATTGCGGCCCCAATCACTGACAGCATTAAGGATGACAAATTCTTGTGGAGTGACAAAGCCCAAAAAAGCTTTGAAGAATTGAAGAGAAAGCTCATTAATGCCCATGTACTTGCACTTCCTAACTTTGACCTTATGTTTGAAGTATATTGTGCTGCTTCTTATGTTGGAATTGGTGCAGTATTAAGTCAAGAGAATGACCCATTGCCTTCTTCAGCGAAAATTTGAATGACATAAAGCTCAGATATTCCACCTATGACAAAGAATTCTATGCAATTGTTCAAACCTTGGAGCATTGGAGTCATTATCTTCTTTAAAAAGAATTCATCCTGCACTTTGACCACGAGGCATTGAAGCATTTGAATTCTTAACAAAAGAACAGTCATTGAGATGCTACTTGGAGTGAATTTCTACAAGCTTATCCTTTCCTCCTTAAATACAAATCTGGAGCCCAAAATCGTGTAGCTAATGCTCTTAGTCGCCAACATGCCTTGCGTACTTATAGATGAAAGTCATTGGATTTGAAGTGATCAAGGAGTTGTATAAGGATGATCCTGATTTTAGTAGCATTTGGAAAGCCACTTCTAATTAGGCTTTTCAACAGTATCATCGCTAGCAAGATTACCACTTCAAGGGTAACCAACTATGTGTTCCACGTTGCTTACTCTGAGATTCAATCATCTAGAAAGCACATAATACTGGATTAGCTAGTCATTTCGGGAGAGGCAAGACTTTAGCTCTTGTTAAAGAAAATTTTTACTGGCCAAAGCTGGAGCAAAATGTCATTCGTCACATTTAAAGATGCAAAGTTTGCCATTAGGCCAAGACAATCAATCAAAACACAGGGTTGTATCTGCCATTGCCTATCCCAACATCACCTTGGGAAGATGTTAGCATGGATTTTGTCCTTGGTCTACCATGAACTCAACGAAGCAAGGATTCTATCATGGTCGTGATTGACAGATTTTCTAAAATGGCTCACTTTATTGCTTGTTAGAAAACTAATGATGCTTCTCTCATTGCTGAGTTATATTTTAGAAAGATTGTGCGTCTACATGGAGTTCCAAAAACTATCACTTCAGATAGAGATGTGAAGTTCATGAGTCATTTTTGGAGGACTTTATGGAGAACGATGGGCACTCAACTCTAGTTTAGTTCTGCCAGCCATCCCCAAACTGATGGTCAAAATGAAGTTATCAACAAGATTTTGGGGAATCTACTACGAAGCTTTGTGGGAAAGAATTTGTGATAATGGAATCTTGTGCTTGCCCAAGCTGAGTTTGCTTACAATAACTCTTCAAATCAAGTTACAAGAAAATTCCCATTCAAAGTAGTATATGGAGCGCGTCCTCTCAACCCTTTAGATCTCGCTCCATTGCCCACACCTCGACAATTTAGTGTAGATGCTGAACAACGAGCCAAGGAGATCAAGAAACTTCATGAAGAAGTTCGTAAGAAGCTATAATGTCAAACCATTAGGTAGAAGGCTCGTCAGGACAAGCACCAAAAGAAAGTTGTGCACATGGAAGGAGATTGGGTTTGGATACATCTTCGAAAGGAAAGATTTCCTAATCGACCTAATGCCAAACTCTCCCCTAGAGCAGATGGTCCTTTTCAGATAGTGGAGAAGATCAACGATAATGCCTACAAGATCAAACTTCCAGGTGACTATAGAGTCTCTGTTACTTTCAATGTTGCTGACTTATCTCTTTACTATGAGGGTCATGAGCATTGATCTTAATCCTAAGGACGAGTTTTCTCCAACCAAGGGAGAATGCATCGGGAGAAAGCACTAGGAAAATGCACTAGATTGTAGAACAAAGTCAGCAAATTTCATACTACTGCAGACTACAAATAGGTCAGTGCAATTTTGTCAATGGCCGCACAAGTCAGTAAAAATGGCCACTCAAGTCTACAAAAATGACTAACTCCCAACTGCATTTTGCTTTTCATTTATTGCCTTGGTTGGATTTTGCCTATAAATAGCCATGTTTCTGCCATTGTATGCATTAAGTTTCAATCAAGTTTCAATTTATAATTCTCCTCTGTTGAATGAGTTTTTTGAGAGTGGATTTCTCTCAATTTATCTCTTTATCTTAAGTCTTGTCAACTTAAGTGGTATTTTAGGCAATCGAATTTATCGTAGTGGGATTCTAAATCTCGCCAAAATCGGTGTTTTGGTATTAGTTCTTGCGCCATGATGTATGATTCAAGCTTCTCACTTATTGTGGTATGCATGCTTCGCTTTGCTGTTGCCATTTGTGGGTTGCTTAACCCTTTAAGAGGTGATTCTTTCTGAAGCATCAGGCAATTTCATGAGGAATAGAGAAAGCCTTCATAAGGTAATGCCATTGATCTTCCCAACATTATTTTCTCTTAGTGCCTTTCTTGGAAAATATTACAGTTGAGTCCTGACATCTAGTATTGCAATTCATGGTCTTATCTTGTTGTCAATGATGGTGCATTTCATGAGGGCAGCTGAGGAAGTGATAATAGATGATTTGTAGAAGTAGAGTAATATGAAAGCAGACCTGTTTATAAAGTTCAAGTTTGCACAAACTAGTAGCTGTTGACATGATCGAAATAGATATGCTTTTGGTTAGCAAGAGTATAGTAACTACGTGGAATTCTTCTCCCCGTAAATCCTAGTTAGTATCTTTTGTGGGATTTTGCATGGTTCGAAATAAGACATGGGTGAAAGGTTTCCAAGTTTAAGTGTATGTATTTACTCCCATTCATGTAATTTAGTAAATAGCTTCCAGCTTAATATTTTGAGGCTGCATTTTTCTCTTGTTTATGTATTTAGGTGGGCCCTTTGCTTTAGGCATATGTGTGTCAGTGCATGTCATGTATCAAATGAATATGTAAGAAATCTTGCATCTTCCAATATAATCCATTTTTCATGTCTTATTTGGACGCAGGTTATGTGCACTTGTTTCTACAATTTTCATTGTTTTCCATACATTTGATAAATATGCCAGCATGAGTGTCTGTGTAGACTCTGTTGTTTAAATATGTTAAATTGGTTGAGCTATAAGAAGTATTATGACATCAAGGGAGACTGCTTCCAATCTTACTGGGGCCACCAAGTGTGGAGTACTTGCCTCATGGACAGAAAAAACATGCGTACTTGCCCAGACTATGTATGAACTGCTTGAATAAAATGGTAGTTGTGCTTCCCTATTTTAATTTACCTGGAAGCAGAATTACTTCTTGGTTATATTTGCAATAGGTACTTTTGAGCTGCCTCAAGTGATAGTAAAGCATGATTCAGTTTTTCAGTTTTCTTGATTATAGTTGTGCTTGATAAAATGATAACTCAGTTCTGATTACAGCAGAACATTAAAGATAAAACTAAAGCAGAACAATAAAGGAAAAATGTTCTGATTAGAGTGAATTTGGCAGGTCTTGCATGTGATTTTCCTCTTTTTTT